CCACATACTCTGCTGGGTGACTTCATTCCCTCCCATTGCTTAAACCTCTTCCAGTTACTGGTGACATCCACATTTATAGTCCCAGTCCAGAAATCCCCTCTCAGGTCCATTCATTCATTTGTTCATTCATTCAGCCACCACATGTGGCGTCTCTGTCTGAGGGTACTGCTCTATACGCTGGGTATACAACAGGGACCCAAGTAGACACCCCCTCCTCATGCTCTCCCTGCTCACTAATGTGCCTGTGTGGCTGTCCCTAGGTGTCTTCACAGCGCCCTGATGCTGAGCTGTGATTCCACCCTTTTGTCTCCCAGGTCACCCTCTCAGTGTGCGGCCAGCATCCACCTTGAAGCTGAAACAGATGTCAAAACCGTCCTCCCGTTCCTTAATTCACTCACTCATTTTTCGTGCATCAGATCTTTAGTAAACACCCATACTCTGTCATTGGGGAAACAGTGGTGAGCAAGACCAACAGGATCCCTGCCCTCATGGGACTTAAACATTCTAATCAGGGAGAGAGGACAGAAGACCAACAGACAAAAATAATCTCCCACGCATATTCCAACCCATTACCAAGTTCCACATTTCTAGCTCTGAAATACATGTTAGGGATTTCCCGCTTCCTGCTCTTCACCCCACTCCGGCAGCTGGACTCCTGCAGGAGCCTCCTCCCAGGTCTCCCCCGGTCCCATCTGCCCTTCTGCCACCCAATCTCCACCCAGCCACCAGAGAGAGACCGTCTTGCAATGGAAACGATCAGATTCATGTCATCCCTGCTTAGAACCCTTTCAATGGCTGGGTTCCCACTGAGTGTACAATCCAGACTCCTTAGGGGGGCCTGCGAGGCCCTGCTGCTCCTGAGGCCCTTCTTGCCTCTGCAGATCCATTCATGCCTCTGCTCTCAGCCCCTGGGACCAGCAGCTCACCTTCCTGTCAGTTTCCCACACATCCCCCGGCCCTCTCACCTTCACTGTTTTTGCACCTGCTGTTCCCTCACAGGGACTGCTTTAACCCAGCCCAGCCCCACCCAACCACCTTCTCGTAGCTGAGAAGGCCTGGCTGTACATGTCACTTTCTTGGTGAGGCGTTTTCCCCCTCACACATCCATGCCCCTCTGCCTCTGTCAGTTTCCATCACTGCAACCAGTGCATTTTCTTGAAGGGACTTGCAGTCCTCTGTAACTATCAGTTGTGAGTTCCTGCTTCCTGTAAGTTGCTAGGCCTGTAGGGGCTCAGTAAATATGAACAAATGAATGAATGGGCAGGAGATAGGCCTGGCACGAGCAGCTGCTGAACTCCATCCTCTCTTAAGCCTCGCAGCCTCTGTCTCCAGCTGGCTTTTGCACCTCACTTCTAGGGCATTCCTGGGAGTCCTTGGGGAATAACGTGAAAGCTCTTCTTTTTCCATTATGCATTTCCTGCCTGAGAAACTGTCGGAATAATGAGGAAGCCTTAGAGAGTTCCCATAGCTCTTCCCCTCTCTTCCTTTTAGAACCTACCATTTTCTACCTGGTACTTGGTACTTGTCAAATTCCCCCTCCTGGCAGCAGTGAGCTGCTCAGAGGAGCTGGTTCCTCCCAGCTCCCCCTCGAGGGCCTAGCCTGGTGCTACATGCAGAGTAGGCACGAAGAGAAATGTGGAAATGAATGAAGAAGGTGCTGGGAAAGGAAGAGAGTAAGAAGGCAGAGGGAGAAAATAGGAAAGAGGAAGAGGAGGGAGGGGCAAAGGGGGCGATGAAGAGTGAAGAAGAGAAGGAGGGAAGTGAGGTCGGGAAGTGGGAAAGAGGAAAAGAGAAGGTGGCCCTGCATCCACCTGGAGTCAGCACCCCACTCCACCCCCCCCAGTCCTCGTGGAGTCAGCACCCCACTCCACCGCCCCTCCTAGTCCTCCTGGAGTCAGCACCCCACTGCACCCCCCTCCCAGTCCTCCTGGAGTCAGCACCCCACTGCACCCCTCCCAGTCCTCCTGGAGTCAGCACCCCACTGCACCCCTCCCAGTCCTCCTGGAGTCAGCACCCCACTGCACCCCCCCCCAGTCCTCCTGGAGTCAGCACCCCACTGCACCCCCCCAGTCCTCCTGGAGTCAGCACCCCACTCCAGCACCCCTCCCAGTCCTCCTGGAGTCAGCACCCCACTGCACCCCCTCCCAGTCCTCCTGGAGTCAGCACCCCACTCGCACCCCCTCCCAGTCCTCCTGGAGTCAGCACCCCACTCCACCCCCCCAGTCCTCCTGGAGTCAGCACCCCACTGCACCCCTCCCAGTCCTCCTGGAGTCAGCACCCCACTGCCCACCCCCCCCAGTCCTCCTGGAGTCAGCACCCCACTGCCACCCCTCCCAGTCCTCCTGGAGTCAGCACCCCCACTGCACCCCCCCAGTCCTCCTGGAGTCAGCACCCCACTCCACCGTCCCTCCCAGTCCTCCTGGAGTCAGCACCCCACTCCACCCCCCCAGTCCTCCTGGAGTCAGCACCCCACTCCACCCCCCCAGTCCTCCTGGAGTCAGCACCCCACTCCACCCCCCCAGTCCTCCTGGAGTCAGCACCCCACTCCACCACCACCCCAGTCCTCCTGGAGTCAGCACCCCACTCCACCACCCCAGTCCTCCTGGAGTCAGCACCCCACTCCACCACCCCCCAGTCCTCCTGGAGTCAGCACCCCACTCCACCACCCCAGTCCTCCTGGAGTCAGCACCCCCACTCCACCCCCCCCCCCAGTCCTCCTGGACTCAGAGCCTCCCAGGCCTGCTCCAGCCTCAGGTGGGACTGCAGGGCTCCTCCAACCTGCCACTGACACCAAGGGCACCCTGAACTCTCAGCTCACAGACCCCAGTCACCCCGAGAGACTGCTCCTTAGGAGTCCTCTGCAGGGACCAGAGCCCAGAGCCCAGGATTTCTTAGCCTGAGGCCCAGTGCCACCTGCAAGATCCCTAGAGACTCCCCTCAGCTCCCCTCCCCTCAGCTCCTCATTTTGAGCCGCTGGTCCAAGGACGATTAACTCCAAATCCAGCATCAGTGATTAAATGTTCATAGGAAACGCAGGAAAAGCACCGGCTTTCCTCCATGCCCCAGCCTCGCTCGGCGGCTCAGTGACAGGTGCCCCACCTCCTCCCCACACCCAGCCCAGGCCTGCCAGCTGCCCCTCAGGAAGACCAGGGACCAGCCTTGCAGGCCCGGAGGATCTGTTTCCAGAGTAGCTGTTGCCACGTGACCCTCCCTGGGGTGCTGGCTCCTAAGCTCCCATGAGAAGCAGAGCTGTGCCACTGCCACAGCTGTCACCACCAGGGCTGCCACCACGGCAAAGCTGCTCCTGAGGCCTCCCTCCTAATTAGACTGCTGAGAGACCAGTCTGTGCCATCCTCTCACTGCACCAGGCAGCCACAGTACCAGGGAACAGGAGTCACCATCAGCTCTCTCCCAGCATCCCTCTGTGTGCCCAGGACCCGCTCCTCCCGTGAGGGGACGACACTGTTTGCACTCCTAGCAGATCGATTAGGGACCTCATTTCTCTCAGGACCCCACTAGAGATGGCAGCCAGCCCCCAGGGAGCCTGGGGACAGGATGTTGAGGGCAGCAGGGAGGTAAGAAGGCTCCAGTGATACCAGGCTCCCTCTGGGCCTCAGTGCTAGGTGGTGACAAGCTGGGTTTCCCTGGACAGGGACTGGAGAGTTGCTCTCTAGTACTGTCCATCTTTCTTCTCAGGTTCATCCTCACCCTGCCAGCGGTTCTCGCTGACTACTGTCCCCTTGCATACTGGCCCCCAAACATACGCATACATTTCCAGAGTCCTTCTGCTCTCTTCACCCTCTTCATTTTCTGATCTATGCACAAGAAAGTATCTCGTGTCAGTCATTAGCACTCTAGTATGAATTTAGGGTCCATGTATATTACCTAGGAGATAGAACTGCTGACCTTCTGTCAACTTGTAGAGTGAGAGCCTTGTTCTCTGTGATATAAGTCCTAGCACCAGAGAGCTCCAAGCAGAATAGGCAATTGTCTGGATTAGGAGAGGAAGAAATCCAAAACTTCCTTGTGTGGGTCAAATTAGAGGCCAGGGCTATACAAGGAATTCTGGCCTGACTCCAGTTAACAAGGACATGGAGCACAAAAGAGAAATTCAAAGGGATCTGCACCAGAAGCTGCCTCTGGAAGATCTTCCCTCTCCTGTGCTCGCCTCATGTTCCACTGTTGCGTCCTCAGCCTGGCAAACTCTTACTCATCCCTCAAGGCCCACTCCACGTCACCTCCGAGAATCCTTCCTGGGCTCTCCCAGGTAGAGTTCCTCTGTCCTATGCTCACACGGAACCTTACATATTCCTCCATTATAGCACAGTGCTAATTTATTGCTTGTTTACTCATTTATGGATGCCTTCTTTATTCGTGTTTTTACCTCCAACCCCTGCTCAGTGCTCAGGAGCCCAAAGGTGAACAAAGCAATGAGTGAATGAATAAGGAGTGAATGAATTAGCTGCCCTCTGCTGACTTCTGTCATTCACCTCCGTCATTCAGGTCCATGGTTGGGCTGTAAGATTTGTCCAGAATAATTCTCAGGGATGCTGGGCCTCTCACTCTACTATCCCACTGCCACGAGCCAGCCACGTCTCCTCCCACCCACACCGCCCTCACCATCAGTGCTCCCTTCCACAGTCCGCATTCCCCTCAACTCCCCAGGCTTCAGCCATCCGGGCCCTTCTTTCCCAATGTTAGTAACTGCAGTTTGCGTCACGGTCAACGTGGAACAGCGGGGGGTTCACGTCCCGCGTCCTTTCTGTCTCCGTTCTTCTTCCTTCTCAGTCTTCGTTAGTGGTGTTCTGTGAGCCTCCCACCCACCCTGACTCCCCAAGTGCTAGTTAGGTGCTCAGGTTTGTGCTCTTGGATGAAACTACTGCCACATTGACAAAGAAAAAGAGGCCGGCAAGGGCTCTTTCCACAGGGAGACGTCTGATTCTGCACTTGAAGTTCCACATCTGTGAATGGGAATTAAGCTTCCCCTGTCTTCCTTCAAGGTGGGGTGATCATTGCATGAGAAAGTGGATGGAAGGGTCCTTTGGAACTCCTGAAGCGCCACTGAAGGTAAGGGGCTAACATTCTTCCGACCTTCTCTCATGGACTTGGGTGTTCCTCCAGAGTCAGAGGGCAATGGATCAGAGCAACCTTTTTTAAAATCACATTTTACAGGTGAAGAAACCAGAGAGTAATTTGATGGAGATCTCACAGATGGATTTCACAGGCCGATTCTGACCATGCTTCTACACTGGCTCTGTGGCCAGACACAGCCACAGTGAAGAGCCGGGCCCTTGGCACCAGCACCACGACTAGCGTTGATTCCCGTCGTTTCCCGGTCCACGGCCAGACTGCTATTTCTGTCTCCACTGGCTTTGCCACTTGTGAGCTGCGTGACCTTGGCCAAATGACTTAACCTCTCTAAGCATGGCCTGTGAAGTGGAGATAATGATACATCTTTAGATTTTGCCCAGAGGAGTAAATGGAGGTGGAATATGTGAAGGGGCAGTAGACCCAGGCAGGAAACAGTGCTCAATGTGTGTCCTTCCCCCGTGACACTGAGGGACCCTGCCCTGGCAGGCATGCCTTGCACAACAGAAACACTAGAAGCCCTTTTTTCAGAGGGGTTGAGAGGGTGGAGGCAGGTCCAGCTCGAGGTAGAGCCTTGGGACACCAGTGCTCATGAGACAGCTCACCGTCATGCCCATTTCCCCCTTGACGATCGGGAAACAGTGGCGCCTGTATGCTGGCTTCCTGAAGCAGTGAGAGGCCAGAGGGAAATGCACACCCCTGAAAGCAGGGTCTCAGAAGTTGAGAAGGAGAGGACGAAAAGGAGGAGAAGGAGGGGGACAAGGAGAGTGGCAGGGAGAGGAGCAGGAGCCTCGGAGCAGGCCGGGAGAGAAAAAGCAGGCAGGGAAGGGGGAGAGACTGCGCCCTGCTGTGGACAGAGGCTGCGGGGCCTAAAATGAACTGAACAGGCGGGAAATAGAACAGCTGGGCAAACCCCAAATGCTCTGTTTGGGTGTCTGCAGAGTGAGCACGTGAATGAGCAGAATGGGGCAACAATGCAAGGAAGAGGTGGCACATTTCACCCTGGAGGTAGGTCAGAACAAGAGGCATGTATTCCAGTCCAGCACAGATTAGTCGGGGTTTTTTTTTTCCCACAATGTTTTCTTTAGGTCATCGTTATTTTTAGCAGGCTAGTTTGGTGGTGGGATTAGCCTGACGCCACCCCATTGTTGGCAGGTGGAAGGTTTGGGTTTCTTTGAGACGAAGACCACTCTGGTTTCTTAACTGTGGATGCCACTGGTTTGGGGACAAGAGATCTTAATCCATTTTCCAATTGGAGGCTTAGGAATCTCAGCTGTGTAATGGAATACCATTTCCCTTATTAGAACAAACCCTAACTTGGGTGCGGTGGCTCATGTCTGTAGTCCCAGCTATTCAACAGGCTGAAACGGGAGGTTGGCTTGAGCCCAGGAGTTTGAGGTTGCAGTGCACTATGATGGCACCTCTAAATTAGTCATGGTACTGCAGACTGGGCAGCATAGCGAGACTCTGCCTAAAAATAAAAAATAAAAAGAAAGAACAAAAAGTCCAGTTCCAGGACAGGTCAGGACTAGCCTGGGGGGCCCTGCCTCTCTCAGCTCACAGAGCCACGCCATGTCTCACACACACCAACACACTTCGCCCTGGGAGGTGCCCAGGCCACCTACGGTTCTGCCATGGGCTGGTTCCTTCCCTGATCACCAGCAGCACCACCTCTCTGATTCTCCCCTCCTCTCCCCCCAAACCCCTGACACACAATATGAAGAACTTTCAGTCTGGAAATTAGACATGGGACCAGCAGAGGCTATGAAGATAGCGAGCCACGTGGCCCTGACGGCTGCCATTTAGTTCAATCCAAGGCATCCACGCTTTGGGGGGTTTGCTCCATCACTGGTTTCTCTAGAATTCAACTCAGCTGTACTTGAGACTGAATGTGGACAGGAATTAGGCGGCCTGAACTCCAGCCTTGCTTCCGCCATGGGCTGTGCCGTCTGGCAACTTGCTTAACCTGGCTAAGCTGCAGTTTCCCATTTGGGATAAAATTAGGGATAACACTGCCCTCCTCAGCGGGTTCACACAAAGCTCCAATAGGTCCTGCACTCCTCCTGCTTAGCTCAATAACTTGACATTTTATAAGGTTTCATTTCCTTCCTTCCTCTCTCCCTTCTTTTCTGGATGAGCTCTAAGAACCTTTCCCAATTCAACAGGTAGAGGAAAGCTAAACTGGGGACAAAAGGAACGTAGGCTAGCCCACAGCCTCCCCATGAGGGGCTGGGGCTGGAGGGGTAGGTCTGGCAGAGGAGAGAAGGGGAGAGACGAATGATCAGAGGGTCTCAACCTAAGTGCTGGTGGCTTCTGGGGCAGAGAGGCAACTGAACCTGTATGAGGTATTCGGATCACAGCTGGAATTCAGACTGGATTTTGGCTTTAATAAAATATTTGACATTTTGTGGAGCTCAGTTTTAAACATGGGGCTGAGAGCTGGCAGATCTATGTCCATTTAGGACCATTCCCCAAGTTCTCACTCAGTTTCCCCTGCTGCTCTGGGCTTCAGTGTTCTCTGCTCTTCCTGTCATCAGAAGGCATTCAGATGAAGTTCCTGCCAGTGATCAGTTAATGGCAAGGAGCATCAGAAGCAAGAAGACTTATCTCTAAGGAGATCAGGCCAGAGTTTTCAACTGGGTAGTTATCCTGCGCTTGGTGATTGTACAGCCCTAAGTGGAAACAGGACCCTAAAGTCCACTCTCTTCCAAGACTAGTCACTTAGAAACACAGCAGCCATCAGGAAGCTGACTTAAGACTCTTCAGTTCTGCTTCCATAACGCACCCCCAACAGAGCTGGCTTGACTGTGGAACCATCCCGAAATCTCTCCTCCTCCACACTGCCTCTTCTCTTCCTGTTAGGCAAGGGCTCTTGGCCTGAAGAAACTTGCCCAGTGCACGTATCTTGTCTTCAGGTTGAACTAGAAGTTCAACAAGTCAGTTTCCTCTTTCTGACATTGAGAGGGTGGGGATCAAGGAGGGTGTTTCAGAGAACGAAGGAGTTCTTGGCTCTTTGTACTATCTGTGCCTGTTCCAGCTCTAGCTGCCCTTGTTTGACCTGCTTCTTGCAGGAGGTAGAGACCAGCATCATATGGAATGCCCACGAAGTACTCCAGGCTTCTCAGATATAAAGGACAGAAAAATCAAAGCTGGCTCTTACCTCCATCCAGATGGATGGGGATAAAAATAGTCCAAGCCCATTTCTTGCCTCACTTGTCCAGTGGCTAAGTTAATGCCAAACTGGGATTTCTCTGACCTCATGTTAACCTGACCTCAAGGCTGCCAGAGTATCAGCTACTAAATCACCAATCTATAAAACTCATCTTGCAGCCTTTTTCAGATCCCTGAAGGAGACTTTAATCCATGCTGACCTCAGAAGCCACCTTGCACCCTCTGCCTGTATTTGGGAATCACCTCTATCACTTGGTGCCCAGAAAATATTTTTAGCTACCAATGATGACTCAGACTTAATCCCCATTTACAACTGGGTTGATGAGGATAGGGAGTTGGAAAAGATTCCACCAGCCACAGGTCTAACAGCTCCTTGAACGAGTTTGCTAAAAGACAAGACTGGTCATGCCCTTCTCTTCTGAAAAGTCTTCTCTGACTCCCTGCTGGATAAAGGTGAGATGCCTCAGCGTGGCTTCCCAGAACCTTCACCATCTGGTCCCAGCCTCTCTTTTGGGCCTCAGTCAGTCCGTGCCACACACTTGGACTCCAATCTCATACACACACGAGTGTTTGAATGTGTGCACTTTCCTGCGTTGGGTCACACACTTCCCTGTGCTTGGAGTGTCCCCTCCCTTCCTCCACCTTGTGAACCTGCTCATCCTTTGTGCCTTTTCCTTCTTTCTTTTTTTTTTTGGGGGGGGGTACACATTTATTGGGTACAAGTGCGATTTTGTCACATGCATAGATTGCACAGTAGTAACATCAGGGCTTTTAGGGTATCGGTCACTCAAATAACATACATTGTACCCATGAAGTAATTTCTCATGATCTACCCCTCTCCTGCCCTCTCTCTCTCTGAGTCTCCATTGTCTGTCATTCCACTCTCTACATCCATGTGTGCACATTTTTAAGCTCCAACTTATGAGTAAGAACACGAGATGTTTGTCTTTCTGTGTCTAACTTATTTCGCCTCTTGTTCCATCTATGTTGCTACAAAAGAAATAATTTCATTCTTTTTGTGGCTGCATAATATTCCACGTGTATGTGTACCACATTTTCTTTACCTCCTAATCATCTTTTGGTGGGCAGGGCATTTAGGTTGAGTCCATGTCTTTGCTCTGAATAGTACTGCAATAAACATATGAGTGCAGGTATCTTTTTTTTTTTTAAACACAAGGTCTAGCTCTGTCACCGAGACTGGAGTGCAATGGTGCCATCACAGCTTACTGCAGCTTTGACCTCTCAGGCCCAAGTGATCCTCCTCTGAGTAGCTGGGACCACAGGGACATGCCACCATGCCTGGCTAATTTTTAATTTTTGTGGAGATGGGGTGTTGCTATGTTACCCAGGCTGATCTAGAGCTTCTGTGCTTAGGCAATCTTCCCGCCTTAGCCTCCCCAAGTGTAGGGATTACAGGTGTGAGCCACCGGCCCTGGCCTTTCTTTTTGATACATTGATTTCTTTTATGAAGTTTTTTCTTCCCTTTCCCCTCCCCTTTCCTTTCCAAGACAGAATCTGGCTCTGTCACACAGGGTGGAGTGGAGTGATGTGATCTCAGCTCGCTGCAACCTCTGCCTTCTGGGTTCAAGCAATTCTTCTGCCTGAACCTCCCAAGTAGCTGTGACTACAGGCGTGCACCACCACGTCCAGCTAGTTTTTGTATTTTTAGTAGAGACGGAGTTTCACCATGTTGGGCAGGCTGGTCTTGAACTCCTGACCTCGTGATCCACCTGCCTCAGCCTCCCAAAGTGCTAGGATTACAGGTATGAGCCACCGCGCCAGACCTTGTGAAGTCTCTTCTAATCCACCTTGTCCCGCCAGCAGAACATCTCGTTCCTCAGCCAGTGACATACCTTTACAAGAGCATTTGTTGCATTAGATGTTTACTCAACTGCTTTCCATGGGCCCTTTCAAGCCTGATAGATTAGACTCTTCCTTTCCTGTAGTCCTGGCCAACTAGATCACGGGGATCTGTGTAGATATGGTAGGAAAAATGATCCAAAATATGGCTGTGGCCTAGAGGATGCCTGCATGTTCCTTCAATATCATACTGAGGCTTTGTCTGACGTGAAGATTACTAATTCTCTAGAAGTGTGCTATCAACAGATGGCTATTGAACGCTTGAAATGTGACTAGTGTCCTTGTCAAAATGACAATATTTTGAATGTGTTGGGTTAAATAAATTATTCAAATGAATTTCACCTGTTTGTTTTTACTTTGTAATGTGGTTACTAGAAAAAGTTAAATTATGCACCTGATTCACATTATATATCCACTGGAAAGTGCTGCAGTAGAAGACAATAATTGCTTGACTTTGTCATTTGCTATTGATTAAGGGCTCAGACTGTGAAGCTACATATTAACTTACAGGGTAATTGTTGGTTTGTTTGCCTGATAGTCAAATGATTTGTATCCAGTAGGAAAGATAAGCCCAGTTTTATTTCCTTGTAGGACATTAACTAAATGTGTATTTATTTTTTAAAAAATTATTTTGGTGTGCCTTTCTTTTAAATCCCAGTTCCTCAAAGGCTCTTTGAATCAACTTTATTATTCTATTGTTTAGGTTCAATAAAATCTTTAA